GAGTTATAACAACTAGCAAAACTTTAAAAAAAAAAACTAAAGAAAACATTCTTTATAGCTAAAAATTAGACTCTGGTATAATATATCCAGAATGATATATTGTTTTTATCTAAAGTATTTAGATAGGCCTACGTTGTGTCTGAAATAATTACTTTTAAATTAATTATTTTTCAGTTACTTGAAACTTCATTGGAAGCCTTCTGTTGTATTTATTTGTGTTTAGTAATACATCATAAAATCCTAAAGAACTAATAATAATATGCATTTTATCCATTTCTAATATCCATAGAATTTGGTATTCTTTAACGGAATATGTCCATCTAACATAATCTACTTTACGTCAATAGACGACTGCATTAAACACATTAAAGGAACCGCTGGGAGGCGTGATTCAGCTGAGAATGAACCGTACAAGTCGATTAGGTCTGCATGGAATTATCTCAGGGAGAATTTACAGATATCAGTTCTCTTAAGTGCAAGTATTTGGATTACGTGTGGAAACCATATACTTAATAACTGGAAGGTGGATATTTCATTGCGAATAAATCCCCACCACCCTTAGAAGTGCGGAAGGGCGCATCCACCTCTCACGAGCTACGGCGGCCTGACAACACAGCGCGCGCTCTTTCCAAAAGGCCGTTTGCGCGAAGTAAAATACCAGAAACCAAAAAAAAAACATTCATAATGATGTGCAGTATAATCTTTTGTGACTGATGACTTAAAACAGCTAAATTTGTGGATAATTCGTCACTGCTTCTAAATCGGTCACATGACTGTTTTTTGCTAAGCGTCCAAAAGCTGCATGGGCTCCCCTCTGTAAGATTAACATTCACGCGGGTCAGGTTTCCGAAAACTGTACAGTATCATGGACGCTAATTTGGATTAAGCTCCAAATCTGAATTAATATTTTTAATTAACCAATTAATGGATGTTAAGGTGTTTAGCATGTCTAAATTAAATATCTGCAGCTATTTACAAAGGCTATAATACAAACAAAATATAAAATATAACCAGTAAAAGTGAAAACCAATTACATATGCATACGCGTCAGTTTAATAATAACCACTACATACATAAACAACACAGGCAAAAAATATGTGGTACATGTGATTAATTTAAAAAATAAGGTCCCAGATTCATAGCAAAAGTTGTTTCATGTTCATTTCCATTAAAAGCCTAAGGTATTAATTATAAACTTCCCATTAAATGACATGCATGCATTTCCATTTCACGGGTCATGTAAGTTGGAACTGTGGCTCTGGGTTGGGACGAGAATCATTCGAACTTTAATTAAAACAGTGCTTTAATTCCCCCTCACTACTGAAACCACATTAGAAAGGATCTGCGCTTTGAGTCACTGATTTACATAAAGCGGCAGACTTCTAAAGAAAGTCGTTTGCTCTGAAGCCGCTCCCTGATGAATTATACACTACTGAAAGAAACGTTAAGGATTAATCCACAAACTTTAGCTCCATAAGCACTGCTCTGGCATGTGAGGATTAGGTCATGCTCTCTCTCTCTCTCTCTCTCTCAACCTTTCAAATCAGCGATGAAATGTTCAGAGGTGTTAATGCTCCTTGTCCACCTATGGATTGGCAGCACCTCATTTTGTGCCATTATAAATATTGCCTGACCATTCCGAGAAGCCACGACAGCTCATCAATCTGTTTATCTCAATGGACACACAAGTAATCATCAGTTAAGACTTATTTAATTTCCTCGCTCATAATTCAAGACCCCGCATTCTCCTGCATTCTTGGTAACAATTTTTCAGCTCCTCTGTAATGTATCGTCACAATTCATATTTTGTGAAGGTGGTCCTGGAAAATGACTGCAGTTGGACTAACATGTCAGAGATGCGCGATCGCATGGGTGATTCAGCGCACGGATGGGGGCTCCGACAAGTCAGCCCAGGGGGGTCCTTAAGGACGGCCAGGGGACAGGTGCGAAACTACATGATACTCCTATTTCCACAAATGGGGGAGCATCTATTTTTATGAAATGATATCATCTTCTCAAGGTACCGATACGTACTCACGGAAAGTGCTTAAGTCGAAGTGTCTGTAAAAACATACTGTAACCCGGCCATTACCATAGACAATACAGGCAACATACACGCCAAATGGAAAAGCAGGTTCGCTATCTCGGTTCCAGTGTCCCTGATGGACATGCCAGATTCAGCGAATTAAAAAGGATGGGGCTTTGAGGTGGCTCTTAATATGTTTAGGGGCCTTTGTTATTTTAGGAAGTCTATTTTCAGAGCTGATACCCCGCGTGCGACCCACCCCTTCAATCTCACACACATCTGTTGTAGCTTCTCATTACTGTCGGGAATCCGCGCGGGCGTAGCTCTAGCCTCCTGGAGACTCGCCTTTTATTCATTTTATTAAACATTTTCGCTCGGAACAAGTAAAATTAGCTGTGATTTATTTGTTAGAGCCAGTACATATCAAAACCACCGATTAACCTTCCTTCCCAAGGACGGAAAGTCGGTAACACACACCTAACTAACCTATATTTAATGATATAGATGTCCATAAATGGCATCGTGCAATGAGAGATGATAATGGTCGATTATAGTAAAATGGTTGAAGTATGAAGAGGCCGTATAGACAAAGAAAGTTTAACCAAACCTGCAAAAGATTTTTTTGTCACTGTCCTCGTTGTACTATCGAATCTGGACTCTCTTCTGCGCACGTGTGTTGCCGGTGACTAGTTAAATGAAGTTTACAGGGGTACAAAAAACACCTTTTGTATTTTGACAAGCGGGATTCCACTAAGCCTTAGGTGGAAACGTGGTTTTCTGCTTCTTTCCCACAGTACGGACTTTACCTTGCGCTGCTGTTTCTCCCAGGCGGGGTCCAGCAGTAGATCCCTGTCCCAGTCATCCTCCTGGATCATGTACTCCTCCGTGGTGGTCGTCGACACGTACGTGGTCGTGTACTGCACTTGAGGCTCTACCGCAGTCATGGTGCTTCGCTCTTTCGGGATTCTGCTTATCCCTTTTCGATATAACGCACAATTTTCAGTAAAACGTAAACGAGCCGAGTCACGAACGCTGAACCCTGCGGAGGGTTTTCGGGGGTCACAGTCGCTCTCTGGGAGAGTGAAAGTACTCCACTCGCTAGAACACGGCTGACAGCGCGTCCACCGCCCGAAGTGCGGCCGGCCAGCGCGCTTTTCCCAGTGAAGGGTGACACACGTCACGGCACCCCTCCAAAAAAGTATCAGGAGTGTAATAGTGGGGATCTGGTTCCACCTAAAAAAGGAGGCATGGGAGGGACTGACATGCTGCAATAGACCATCCCTATGGTCACCAGATCAGCGAAACCAGCGAAGACTGGGTATATCCGCAAGTCACCAAAGTAAGCCTACTGGGGGTAAAAAGGATGGAGGTATTCAGACAGCACGGATCCCTGAAATCAGGAGAGATCCAGTCTAGCTGCCCCACAAATGTTACGTGATCGGGCGGCAATAAATATACAGTCTTCCTCATCTATGAAAACGGTTCCTGTCAGGCTGAAGCATGTGGCCTGGAGCACTGCTGACCTGGAAGACACGTAAAACGTAGGCCGTGCGATAATTCTTAGGCTACTATCCGCGCCTGCAGGTAACTTAAGGCAGCTTTGTTCATTGCTGTTGTAGCCTCGAACTAAGTGTTCGGCCGTAACGCAGCGTGCAGGAATGTCAACTTATTAATTAAGTAAAATAAAATGAATGGGATGCAGATGGGATCGTCAACCGCGGTGGTCAAAACTCGGAATTAATCTTGCCTTCTGTTGCGCTGGTTGTACATGTCCGCCCTCTTACCAAATTCCGAGGGGGGCAGTGGTTGGTCGATCGTGCGGTAACGATTATATTCCGTTTCGCTCCGGATGCAGACCGGAGTCCGCCATTTGAGTATGCCTGTTCTGACAGCTTCTTTAGTTATTTAAGCTAGTACCTGTGGTGACGAGCAGAGTTATACCAGGAATCACAGGGCACAAGGGGCTACCAGGCCACTGCAGTCTGCACACACAAGATTAGTTTTGAGACGTCAGTTCCCCGATCCTCGTGTTATGGACTGCTGGAGTAATCGGTTAATCTGCCAGCCAACTAAACAGGGTGACATTTCAAAATTAAATAGATTAAATGCCCTTCTTTCACGCACGCCGAATTGAATGCACAATTTGAGTCAATGCTAGCTGATGTATATTACGTGGCTAGCACCATGTCTTAAGACACAATGCATGGAAGGCTGTTCTGGCGCCCTAGGCGAGATTCTAGTGAGGGCCCCCCCCCCCCCCCGCAAAATCCTGCCCCTAAGCACAACAAGATAAATAAGCCAGCACATATTCCACTTATACAACACAAGGTACACCAACAAATTACAAAGTCATTAAATGCAGTTAATGTTGAATGACAGCATGTTGCCATTTTCATAAAGATTTATGATGCATGTTAAAAACGGAGGGATTATCCTGACACGGGGCTCGCAATGAAAAATTATTGGCCTCGGCGGTGAAAGCTTACGACTAGACTTACCGAAAGGCGGCATTCTGTGATAATATGGTGCTTATAACACTAGTACTGAAATATCAAAACTAGTTAGAATGTTTTAATTTAAAATAACTAGCTGTAATAATAATACTAATGATTAATATTGTTATACTGGATAATGTTATATTATTATTATTTTATTATCATTATTATTATTATTATTATTATTATTATTATTATTATAATACACTATGTGTTTTCTTCTTTTCGGCGTTTTCTTCCTGGTGCCACAGATTCTCTTGGCCCGTTTTATCTCCTTGTCAGTCTCGCCAATTCATTCACTGAGGAATAGCGCATTATTCTGACGTTTAATGGGGGCTGCGGGCGGTCATCCCGTTGTAATTAATACATGTGAGAAAATTAGTTCTGCTGAAGTTTGTGCTTGACGCGGACGTATACTATTGTACAGTATATAGCTGTATCCTTAAACAGTACATGATTAAAAAGTAGTTCCGGACCAAACGGAAAGAAGTAAGAAACGACTGACCTGCGTCTCTGTGTTTTCTAAAAGTTATCCTTTATTTTTTTCACGTATACATAGCACATACACGACACTCGTCAATAAATGTTGCAATTGTAAAAGTCAAAATAATAGTAACGTCACAGAATTTTTTCCTGATTTTTTCCATTCGCTCTTTTGCGTATCGTAATGAAATGGCGCCCTAGGCGATCGCCTTTATCGGCCATGGGGCGGGCGGGCCCTGATACATGGTATCTATTTTGTTTAACTATGACATAGATTACATCCACAACACTGACTATTGATTATTCCAGTTTTCCCATAAATGTTCCCCATCCGCCTTCTGAACCGTTTGCCCCGCATCCGGTTGGGGTGAGTCGATCCCACAAACCATACGGCACGATAAGAGGTAAGAGGACAGATAAATATCTCAGCCACAAGTGTTTCAGTGTCTTACCGACTTAACGAGCGACTTATGTAAATCCTTATCAGTCTGTGGTGCAAACAGCACCTTAAAGCTTTCAAGTACATAACAAGGGATAAAACACTGACTCAATAATCAAAATAAACTTCATGGAATATCATTCTTCCACAGGGACTTAGCGGAAAAAAGTCATTGATTGCCACCTCTTGGAACATAACGGTAATTGCACCCATATACATTTACCATGCAGTAAGGAAAGCGTTTTCGGCTTGTCAGAGTCATGTACCCCTCACTACATCTCTACGGGGGGTGGTGGTTGGGAACCCGGGACACACATTATGTTTTTGGCATTTTGACTATTGAGATACCAAAGCGACACGTTAGTTTTCATGTTAGTTTTAAAAGCTTTGTGATTTTAACCATTTTAATGCTGGTAAAGCATTTCTCATGGAGGACACAGTTCACACTGAATACAAAAAGTCATCCCTAAATTAAAGATAAGGATAACACGATGACACAGCATTTGTAAATAAAATGCATGTACATAAAGTGTTGCAATTGAAATTTGCTCATTATTGTACTTACATTTTGACAACTTGGCCCACGCACAATGGGACACATCTGAAACTTGTGATGCTTTATGAAATCGTTAAGAAATGAGGAGAAAACCCCAATCGTATAAAGTGTACTCAAATCTCTAACTACTTTCTGTTGATGTGAAAATAATTATCCAATAATAGTACATTGTGAACCGATATTGAGACAAGGCAATTTTTTTTTAAAATCTGTAACGACACGTCTCAGGGTCCCCAAATTAGGAAATAAAGTCTGGGGGCTGTGGTATTTACTTCTCCTTGAATAGTTTTTTTTTTTTTGCCCAGATAGGGAGGTTGACCCTCCAACAATGAGGAAATACTGACAGTCTGACAATGTGCTAATGTGCGGGTGAAGCCCTCCACAGTAAGTTACTGTCCACAGCATGGGAGACTCATTGTCACGCAGGTTGTTATTTAATCAGTATTGGGTTTACTGTAGGTGTGGACAGATACTTTCAAAATGCACAAAATACCTATCCAAACATTGGCTTAACTTATTGAAAGACGAGACAGGGTTCATATTTAATATTTATCTAGCAGTTAAGCTTTAGTAATCAAAACACACGGATACATGAATCACTTTCTGCTCCTTGAAATGTTACTTCCCGCAGTACTGCACACTGGAGAATAAAACCTACATGAAGATTTATGGTTCTGAGATAAACTGACTACTGCAGTCTGATAACAATAGATCTTCCGCTTCAAATCACAGAGTATCCATATTTTTAACCTTTAGACTTAAATAAAATGATATATCTTTTAATGGTTTAGCGAGTTACTCTGTTTTCATGACATTGGGCATGCCTTTGCTGGCTGGATTGAATACAGTAATTGCTTTGTAATTAAGTATTGTTTATAATGACTCTCATCCTGCATAATGGATTTGATATTTTCTATGAATACTCAGTTAAGATTTGTTTTGTTCATCTGTGCGCTTGTGTTTAACAGCACATATTTAGCGGATTCCATTCGAGTGCATAATCGGCTGTGTCTCTTCAGTGGCAAATGCAGCTGCACGCCGGCCAGCTCCCTGTGAGTCACGCGGAGACGGGGAGTGAAGGGCACTGAGCACAGAAGCAGCAGTTACAGGAACATTGCCCCCCCTCATCCGCGGATCTGTTGAAAATGTTGCTGGATTATAGGCCATTGCCACATGTGTGCTGCGCTTTAAGCTGATCACAGCTGGGATTTGTGGGGGGTAGCACATGGAGGTCTGTCTATGGGGCAGACCATGTATATGGGGGAGAGGGGGGGACCATTGGCTGAAATAAGCTGCGTCTTTCACATCTGGATGCTGGGAAGGATCCATGATGCAGATTTCAGACACCAAAGGGAAATTTATTTGAAAACTTAACAAGCACTTAACCAGGAACAAAGGACTGTGAGGGATCAAAGCAAGAAGCAGGGAGGATAAACCGGAAGGAACAAGGACTGACTAAACACAGGGGAATGGGCTCCTTGCACATAAAGCAGTGACGGCATATCCACCAGTGCGAAATACGGCTCACTTGCTTCCGGTTTGAGTAACTATGAGCACAAGAAAGGATAAACTTGTGTTTCAGAAGCTAAAAAAACAATATGTGCACTACATCCTGAAAATACAATCGAGTTTTAAGTTTCCACGCACACCTCTGGGAAATTCGGCAAATCCAACATATTTATACTCACATTTCATATAATTTATTGCCACATTTTACTTTAACGCTTATAGTGAACACATCTGCCTGGGCGAAATTGATAATTATAATCGGATGATCATCATAACCGATTTTTTCTTCTTCATATCTCAGTCTAACTGACACGTGTATATTTCTTACATGAATAATAGGTAATAAAACGGACAGCGTCACTAATTTTGATTGCAAAATATAGTACAACCATTTCAAACGCTTTTCAAATTACAGTACTGTACAAATTAAATTACTGAACTGTTTATAATTAAAATACGCTATATAATACTGTACCTAAATACTCAATTTTATTTATACAGCAAATTTTCACAACATTATCTGAAAGCGTTCGATGCAGCATCTCCTTGTCTCGTTTTATGGCGGTTTATCAGCTTTGATGAGTCTATATAACACAAATCTGAATTTTGAACAGCTTTAATTAGATCTCTGACAAAGTACCAGTGCTGCCATACGTTTTACACTACAATGTTTGTCGCGCTTCTTCATGGACCTGAAGCAGCAACCTCTCCTGTTCCTGTGTTTCTGTTTGACACTAAGAATAGCAAACACAGATTAACACAATGTGTACTTAAGCACACATAGAACATTCTAAGTTAAACATTATCCGCTAGAATGACTGGGGATGTTCATAGTTACTTTATTGCCACATGCATACACTATCACTGTCCGGGAGTAACGTCTATTAGCGTAAGCTATACAGTAGCTAATGCCAGCCACAAAGTTGAATGAATAAGACTCCCCTTTGTATCCGTGGATGTAAGACAAGCCAAACATCTTAAAGCCCTTTTTTAATTTACTCGTTGGTACTTTGGAGAAGGATTTACAAACGTGATGTACGTCGTTGATCATAAGTTTGGGCAAGTCCTGTAAACGGCATGTATAAACTACAGTGCTACCTCGGTTTTCAAACTCACTAGAACTCGAATTTCTTGAAAGTCGAAAAAACCAGTTTGACCTAGAACTCGATCTGAATATCAGAAGTCGAACCGTGAAGCTGACCTAATATAAATTGTACGCGCCAGAAAATGAGTCATACTACAATGCAATTCTTACTTGAATGCCGCCTTCACAGACTGGACGATTAACCAAATAAAGCAGTGCAACAGTACAGTAACTAACAATAAATAAACCACTAACTTACGTGTACTATTAGAGCATTTATGTAATTTATTTAAACTTCATTTTACCAGGTAAATTAACTGAAAACCAGTTCTCACTGCTTTACGTGATATTCGGGAGAAATAGCAGATTACACATCGGAAGTTCGGGAACTGCCTGGAATACAAACGCGTGCGTTTAACTAAACTCTTCAGCCAATAAGGGCAAAGGTCACGGAGGCGGTTCCAGTTTGTGCAGCCGGTGAGAGGTCGCAATGCATCTAACCGTAATGCATTGCGTCAGGATCAGAATGCGTTGCTTTAACCCCTGATTTACACTGGATGCGTATCCGCTGCTGTGCGACTGCGCTGCATTCGCATTCCGTCCGAGGCCGTCAGCCATTTCACACTGGAAGCGTTTGTGGTCCGTATCTGATCCGGCGCGCCGCTGGTTTGCGAGATCACATGACCACGGGAGAATAACATTTAACATAACATTTATCTATGTTTCTATGGATAAAATAATGTGCCACTCCCATGTAGGTTACTGAACACTTTATTCGGAGTTTACAAGTACTTCACGGTACAGGTTACTTTCATTAAAAATCAAGTTTTTACATAGTTAATTGGAAGATTCAACTCTCAAAACTTCTGAAATTTCAGTCCACGCCTTCTCTTTTCTACTGTTGTCCTTGTAAAAAGGATCTCTGGGGTCGTAGACAAATCGGTGTTTCTCCACTTCCAAAATTAATTTTTCCTCGTCCATGATGTGACGGAGAATTGGCGCATACGCTCTGTGTTGCGTTCTTGATCCGTATCCATCAAAAATAGACTTGATGCGCATCTCGACGGACTGCCGGACGTGTGACGGAACAGAGACGTAGCGGAGACGCAACGCAGCGGATCTGGTGTAAACTGATGCATTGACTTTATTGGCGGCGATTGCCTGCGGCTGCCGTGTCGAAAACGCACCGTAGCGGATACGCATCCAGTGTAACCCCTGATTTACACTGGATGCGTATCCGCTGCGGTGCGTTTCCCTAGACCCTAGAGATCCTTTTTACAAGGACAACAGTAGAAAGGAGAAGGCGTGGAGTGAAACTCCAGAAGTTTTGGGATTTGACGGTAAG